GGGCGGCCGCCGCGGAGCCCGCGGCGGAGGAGTGCAGCTGGGCCGGCCTCTTCTCCTTCCAGGACCTGCGGGCCGTGCACCAGCAGCTGTGCTCCGTGAACTCGGAGCTGGAGCCCTACCTGCCCGCCTTCCCCGAGGAGCCCTCGGGGATGTGGACCGTGCTCTTCGGGGCGCCGGAGCTCTCTGAGCAGGAGATGGACGCGCTCTGCTGCAAGCTGCAGGTTTACCTGGTGCACAGCTTGGATACGTGCGGTTGGAAGATCCTCTCGCAGGTGCTCTTCACCGAGACCGACGACCCCGAGGAGTATTACGAGAGCCTGAGCGAGCTGCGGCAGAAGGGCTACGAGGAGGTGCTGCAGCGGGCCCGCCCGCGGGGCCCGGGGAGGTGCTGCAGCGGGCCCGCCGGCGGATCCAGGAGGTGAGACCACCCCATGCTCCACGTCCTCCACCTCCACGTGGCCTGGATGCTCTTTCCTGCTGTGTAGCTGAAAAATAAAACTTGGAGAGTATAAGAAAATGAGGATTAACCCTTCCCAAGATATCTAGGTGCAGATCTGCTTGGTTGTCCAGTGTGGCTCAGCACTTGGTTACGTGCAGTAGAATTTAGAGGTTTGTGAGCGAGAACCTGATGGATTTGGCAAGGTCTCACTGCCAGACTTTTGTTGTTTTGAGTTGCACCAGAGCAGGTTGGAGCCAGGATTTTTCTATTTAATGGGAGCAGCAGTGTGTAGTGTTTGACAGCACAGTTGAGATTTCTTAAGCCAACAGTTCTAGGTTCTAATGTGCTCTCAATCTAGTATTTCAAGTGAGATGATGCTTCCAGTGGCAATGGAATAACTACACTTACGTTGAGCTGGTATTTTAAAACTAAGCTACCTTGGAGTTAGGATTTTACGAAAGCAAACTGTCTGGTCCTAGCAAGTTTTACCATGTTGCCATTGTCAAGCAGCATCTGTGACAGTACCTGGACATTTCAAGTCATACTTGTTCGTTTGCTTTATGCTGTTTACAGAGAAGCTGTTGAGGATGTTGGTTGTTCTAACACTTCCTTTTAGACTGTGAGATTTTTTCCCACTTCTTTGTGGACTGAGATACTTGGGACCCAGATTTTCACAGTAGTTATGAGAATTTTACTTTTGCCTTTGTGTTTGTGTAACCTTTGTCGAGAATGTACAGAGGGTGATCTAGACAAGGCTTTTAATTTTGCAAATGCCATCTAAGTTCTATTGTACGGATATAAACTGAGGTTGGCTGCTCCAGTTGCTCATATATTTATCCTCCCTTTATTTCATGTTCAAAAATAGTAGTGAACTTCTTGGAAATGATTATCAAACTCAAAATGCATTTTTTTTTTCTAGAACCACTGATTCAAAATTACTCTGCAAGAACTGTTTGTTATGTGGAACATTTCAAGTTCTGTTAGCACCAGCGGCAGCGGGAAAAATGGTTATTGGTAGGTTATGCAAGCTTCATCAAGGATAAAAATGTTGAAACTACAGCATCTTAGTCCCAATTAATATTTAGAACTTGGCACACATACGTGTATTTGGCCATAGGGCCACCTTCCTTCTCCATGGTAACCAATCCAGTAGTGCACCTAAAGCCAGTACAGCAGTACTTCTGACACTGTTTATTGTGTAAATTGATACTTCTTTAATTAAAGGTAGTTCATGTTTAAGAAGGGAAACCAATAGAGTGACCTGCTCTCTTTCCCTTTTGACTCTCGGGTTTCTCTTTTTCTTACCTCTTAGTGGTTTACTTTGTTTGGGATGTCTTTCTTTTGAGCAAATAGTAGTATCATTTGTCATTGCAATTCCAAGAAAGTGAAGCAATGGATGATGGGTATTGCTGGGTATTTCTGACATAAGGTTTTTCTTGGTATCAAGAAACAACTACAGAATCAACATTTAATCTTTTTTATTTATTTACTTTTCTATCTGTATTTGAAATCAGCCTGTTAGCTGTTGAATTCCTGCAATTTTAAGTGAGTTTGCCTCATGTTAGAACTTTGGGAAGAAAGGAGTAATGTGTTTTCATTTGCAACTGAAAAAGATATCCAATAATACAGAAGGTCTTCCTGAATGTAAGCTTCTTAAAAGAGCAAGTTTAGACCATGAAGATTTTGGGCATAACATTTCCAAATAGCTTCTGGGCTTCATAATTTAATATATCTGCTTTTCCAGGACAAGTTTCTCGGTGCAATTAATGCACTTGTAAAATGCTCGCACAGTCGGTTCATTATGTTCTTTGGGATGGAGAAGCAAAGTGAGCAGCAAAATCTTCTGCTTTCATTGGCCAAGCAGGGGATGCTGAAACATCTGCTGTGTTTCGTAAGTTAGACACTAGCCAGTTTATTTTCACAGCAGTTAATAATTGCTGCCCTTTGTAATAGGCATTTCTATCTATTTCAATTATAAACCTTTAATAAGCCGGAAAAATGTTGCAAGTAGAAACAGATGCAAGATCAGGAAGGAAAAAATAGAGTAACTTTATAACCTGGAATTATTTTCTTCTACATAACTTGCCTTTTTGAAATAACACAACTTTTTATTTTTTGAAGTAGAGGGTTAATTCTGAAAAAAATAAGGATAGTTAATTTATGCTGAAGCAGAAGCTTTTACCTATAGGAGGAAACTCTTCTCTAGCTTTTTTTTTGAATACTAAAACACATTTTTTTTGAGTCCTCATTCATTAAGTTTATGCTTCTTCAAAAAATTAATCAGATGCTTAAGTAGAAGACTAAGCTCCCAAATGTAAACAGGAGAAAGAATCAGTTAATAGCTAGATAAAAGAAAAAGTTATTATTTTAATAAAGAGGATGCCACTTGAGTCCCCATTTGGGATTCCAACCTCTTGGTCAGTATTACCAATATTTAAAAGTTCCTTTCTTTTCTCTGTCACTGCCAATTTCCTGGCTGTTACAGTTTAGAAGGAGCTTCTGTAGGACAAGTGTCCCTGCTTGTAATTTTCTCCCTAGCGGTAGCAAAGATTGTGCAGTGTCTCTTTAGCAGTGCTATTTTGGAAGGAGGTTGAATGTGGACATCGTTATGCTGAATAAAAAGTGTTGTTCGTTGTGTAATTTAAAATATGGTTGAGGGATTGATGACTTAATCCTGCCTGCAAATGTAGCCCATCACATGCTTTTGCTTTTATTCGCTTCTGCCTAGCGAGTTGTGGGTCTTGGAAGCCTCTCTTTGCACTACATGTGTTCTTCAACAGCTCTGAATTAATGGGACCTGTGAATGCCTCTGTTTCCTATAGCTCTTAAGCACCACAGTTGTGTGAAGTTTGGCAGATGACAGTCTATAGGACCTTGAATGCCAGTTACAGAGACTTTGTGTCGTTTTACTGTTGTTTGGGAAAGTCTTGGAATTGTGATGTTTGCAGGAAGACTGAAAAGTCACCCAGCATCTCCTCACTTGCTGTATGTGTTCCTTTAATTGCTTTAATAGAAACACTTTCAGTGCATGGTTAAATTCTGAAGGCATTCTGAGACCACCGTGTTTTTCTGTGGTTAGTTTAAGGCTGTTGGGAGTGAGGACCTATTGATATTTTTAAACTCTTT